GAAGTGTAGGTTTACCGGTCTGCCGGACTCAGGTGTAGCTTTCGCCGACTGCCGGCGTCGGAGTAAAAAAAAAATCTCTGGAAGGACGGAAACCAACGTGACGGAGTTATGGAAATTTTCCGGTGCGAATCGTATATAATTCCGTTGACAATGACAAGTTAACGTTTTAAAATTATTACTTTTTGTGATATTAAAAAAATCTTTTTAAAAATTCAAATACTTGTTTTTAAAATAAATAATAGTTTATATATATATATATATATATATATATTTAATATTAAATGGCATGAGCCGTCGTATAGCTGTGAGGTCAATACTCAACCCTAACGAGTTATGGCATACCTATTTATGTTCGAATAGGTTCCGTATATCTGTTCAATTGAATTTCGCAAGTATTTCGTTTGATATGAAAAACGGCCAGCTAAACTTTGAACGGTGCTACAAGATATTAGAAAATACAATAAATATCAACTAAAAAAAATTACTTTAAATCAAACAAAAAGCTTAAAAAATCCATGGAAACAGTAAAATCAGGCTAAAAACACATTGGACGACTTGTGGATCTTTGATATACTTTAAAGGTGCGTTAATTCAGCAAAAAAAATTATCCGTCACTAAATGTGAGACCCATTTTCTTAAAAATATGTGAAAAAGCCTATTTATCTGTCGTTTTAGTGTTTTTTTACTTGATCTGGAGGGGTCTCCCCCCTCCTTATTAAAAAAAAAAGCCTAAGTAAATCGTCAAATTATGATGTTTTTGATGAATTTTTGAAATTATAACCAATGACAAAACAACGTGTCATCTCGTCAATGACAAATTCCTTTGACGACTTGGAAACATAAAAAGAAATCCTTGTTTTATTATTTTCTATATGTAATATGGTCTTCGAAATCATCCTTATATTTATCTGTGGTAATTCGAAATTATCCCTGTATTTATATGTGGTAATTCGAACCAGATAATGTGTATCATTAGGAGTATGCTAAATGCACTTCTATCTACTAAAAATATACCTTGATAATTGTTTACTGGTTCAATTATCTTTATCCGGTGAATGTATAACAAGGACCAAGAGTCTTACTCAGTAAAAATTTACCAAATTGTAAACGTTTATTATTAATCCATATCGATGACCAGAAATATCACCTTATAAGATAAATGAGAGTGATGACTCTACTCGAAAAGTGTTAGTAAACAACCCTTTTACTTTTTAAATTTTCAATACACAATTTAACTAGATTCTGATAGGGCAAATTACATGAAAAAAATAAATACTTTAACTTAATTCATATTTTGGGTAACGTACTTTCAAAACTTTCACTTTGGTACATGTAAAGTTTTAAACATTTAAATACTCGGGTAACTGGTTGAAGACTAATTTTAGATTAAAAAATCCATGTCACTAACCACGTCAGCAAATAATTTTGAGTTGGATATCATATCACTTGTCACATCAGCATGATAACCGGTTAATGCTTCAATCGGTTAAATGAATAAAACTTTACATCTTAAGTACCAAAATGAAAATTTTAAAAGGACGTTACCCAAAATATGAATCAAGTTAAAGTACGTTACTTTTTCATGCAATTTGCTTATCCCGATACAAATAAAATTGCCTTAGAACAAAGGTGAAAACATATAATTGATGAAATATAAATATATAATTAAATTTGGGATCATTTCAGATAATGTTGTTTTCGTGAGACACGATTATTATACTTGAAACTTCATAGCAAAACATTGTGAAGGTAAACATTCATAGTTTTTCTGCTGTGAATATTAAATTTTTTTTATCTTCACAATATTTTGTTATAAAGTTTCAAATGTAAAAATCATATCTCATAAAAACAGTATTATCTCACGTAAATCCTATCTTATATAATTAATAATTTATTTTATGGAAGTAACAAAAAGTTGGCAAGCACGTGTTCATTTTACTTTATGTATTGAAGTGGCCACCCCACCAACTGATGCGTCCTTGATTTGTCTTTCCACCACTATAATTCCATAAATTATCAAATATTTTTATAATTTATTTTATAGTAAATTACAGATTTGGTCCCTATAGTTATATCAAAATGATGGTTTGGGTCCCTCAAAACAATTAATTACAGATATCATCATTACCGTTTCATATTTGTTGCGAATTGGGTCCCTTATCCTAACTTTGCTAACCTACTCCTGTTAAGTCAAGGATGTTTTGGTAATTAACATAATTTTCATTTTTTATTGAAATTTTAAATATTTTTTATTTTATAATATATATATATATATATATATATATATATATATATATATATAACGAGTTATTACAAACTCCCCCACTTAAAATCCTGAGTCCTCGTCAGGCCTGTCCAGAACTTTCTCTTTGTCATCGGCAATGTGGGATTTGTCTAAGATGTCATAAATACCACCACTCGAGGACTCATCATACCCGATAATGTTTGCCCCACCATTCTACGATATAAGGATCAGCTCTGATACCATTTGTAACACCCCCAATGCCCAAAGTAACGGACTAGCTCAATAATTTCGAATCCAACTTAAAACCATGGTGGAAACTATTGGTTGCCATTACTTGAGACTTACAAGGATCTAACAATTCTCACATTCAATCCATGTGAGACGAATTGTTACACACACACATATATACACATAATATTCTTCTAACCTTGAATGTGTTGTTTTCTCTAGTCTAGTGATAAAAAAAATTTCATTATCAACCATTTGGTACAACTTATCCATATTCAGTTAATTTTCTCAATTTGCATATATATATATATATGTATATATATATATATGTGTGTGTGTGTATATATATATATAT